CTGCACTGGTTTATGGAGAGTATAAGTATCATCACTTTGAAGATACTTCTCAACAGCAGATTTCTTTACTGTCGGATGTTTAGCTCGCACGGCATTGATAAAACTTTGTTTCCGGTGAAAGCAGCCTCAAACTTGGGATCATTATAATACTTTTTAAAATCCACCATTTTACGATAAATCATTTTACGCAACAGTACTTATAGGCGGGATGATTACAACATTAAGATCATTTCTTTAAAATGTCAACGATATTAACATGTAATCAATGCGAAGCATCATTTGAGTCTAATTTTAAGCTTTACGATCATAAGATTAAGGAGCATGGTCCGACAATGGCTATTGTTAATAAACCAAATCTAAAACGAGCTCCTCATTCTCCCGAACCTGGAGATCACCCCTCCAAACATATTAAGCTTGAACATGAATCTAGAGGTGAAAAAAGAAACAGGGTTAAGGGTATTGATAAACCTGCAAAGTATAGACGAATAGCTGATAATCAAGGAATTAAAAGAATGCATGGTGATAGCAGTGGAGATGACGGTGATGACGATTATGAGCGGAATAGTGAAAAGTATAGACGTTTGAATGATAAACAGGGAATTAAACGGAAAAGTTCGAGGTATGGTGGTAAGCGAAAGTATAGAAAATTAAATGATAGTGATGGAGATGACGATGATTCAAGTATTGAAAGAATTCCGACTGCAAGAAAGCGATCTCACTCTAGTTCAGAATCGGATGGGAACATAGCTGGAAGAGAGACAAAACGCTTACGTACTAGAGCTAGAAGGGTGCCAAATCCCAGACGGATAAGTGATGAAGCAGCACATTGGAAAAGGTTATATAAACTTCAGAATAGCAAATTTAACGAGAGGGAAAAGTTTTACGAAAAACAGTTTGACATGTTTTCAAAAGTAGAGGAACAGCTTAATGATTTGACTGTTGATGGAGATGTAGCCATGACCAAAATAAATCAGGCAGTTATCAACAGTGTAACTATGACTCAGTTTAATGAGATTAGGACTCTGATTGAAAATGGAAAACTTTCAAGGGTACTCTCCAACAGGAAACATATTGACGCTTTACGGCGTCTATTTCTAGGATTAACTTATGGGGTTATTCCAATCACACAACCTCAACGCATAGCTTTATCAGAGGATGAACGCACTATGGTTAAGTCACTTGAAAATGCTCCAGTAGATAAAGTAAGGAATTATATTAAACGTAACAAATCAAGTTTCTTGCGTTTATTTGACATTATCAATGATTCTTTGAAGCTTATAACTCGTGCATATGAACGTTATGGTTTTAGTTGATGGTATTTAAGGAGGGAACGAAACCATTAGCGAAAACATAAAATGGATATTTCATTAATCTTCAGTGTTATTCTCCGGTTAAATTTCACCGTTCAGTATGTAGATAATGGAGCAAATTATCAAGATTATTTCATGTTTTCCGGAGAAAACTGCAGCCTCCATTTATTCCGTGAGAATTCTTCGATATTTCAAGTGTTTAGCAGTAAAAATGATAATGTACGGTATGAATTAGCTCAAACAAATGTTAGTGCTATTCAGTTCAAATGGCCATTATCCATTAACAATGTTGATATGAATCTAGTTAAGGGGAGAGAGGAGACAATTAATCATACAACATACAGTAGTTTTATGTTTATTGACCCGCTGACAATAAACAGGAAGGAAGAGGTGATTATCGCAAATGAGCATCTTCCTTATGATCTCATTGCAGGAATTTTAACTATTTTCCTTGTTATAATAAAACTCCCGGAAATCGTTTTACTCCTCAAATCACGCATAAGGAAGACGTTAACGCCAGAGACTTGGGTATAAAAACACTACGGGATTTGCTCACTTATTTTAAAATGTATTACAGTGATGTTTGGATTGGTTTTCTCTGCGAAAATATAGTAAGACAGGTTGCTCAACTTAGCAAACTACGATGTCCTGGATGTGAGGATAAGCTATTTTCCCCCCTACTTCATCTACACGAACAGCTCTCTATGCTGGATAAGCTACGACAGTATTTTGAAGAGGTTCGGGGCACCATACTTCCGACATTACCTGAACTTTACACCATGTTTCAAGAGAAACTTCCACATTCAGACGATCTAGATCGCGATCAAGAATGTTACATTTCCATTGGCCACAACTTCCTGCTAACAGTAGGAGCTGACTCACTATATTACGGAAGGTATCTGTCAGATCTCAATGATGGTTACATTAACGAAGGCTTCAAGATCCAGAAAAAGCGGAAGTCTGAGGCCTGTCTGACAAGCAATAACGAAGGTCTCAAGGTTCAGAAGAAGCGGAAGTCTGACGGCTGTCAGGCAACAGGAAAAAATAAACCGATTAAGAAGGGCAAAGTCTGACTGATGACTTCCTATGAATAAACCTTAAATACCCTCACCATCTGCAGAGAGTTATCCTTGTTTACAGCAGTTTTTTAGTAATGTCTCCTCCATCCAAAAGTGCAATTGTTAGTGTTGACGGGATTAACCTCTCGTCCCGTTTTCATTTTGGGGGGAAAATTTTCCCCCCCTTTTCAAGTTGGATTTTTTAATCCCCCTTTCACCAAGCCCCCGGATTTTGGGGGGGTCTGGGGAAAAGGGGAAAAAGGGGGGGCTTTTGCGGGGGGTTTTTCTTGGGAAACTTTTTTTGACTATCCCGGGCTAAATTTTTTTCCTCCCCCCAGGCCCTAAATTTCCTTTTAAAAAAAATTTAAAATAGGCGGGGGAAATTTCCCCCGGACAATTCCACAACATTTCCAAGGGGGGGCTTTTGGGACACCGGGGGGGGCATTTTTCCACCCCCCTTTTTCCCCAAAACCCCCGGCCATTTTGGTTTTGGACCCCCCCCCCCTTTTTTACCCCCCCTGGAAATTTTATAAAACCCTTTTCCCCAAAATGGAATTTTGTATGAATTTTTTTTTTCCTTATTATTTAGGGTTTATATATTTTGTTTTTAAATTTTCTTTAAAATTTTTTTTTTGGGGGTTACAAAATAAAAACCAACCTCAAAAAAAAACCCCTTTTTAAAAAAAACATTTTGGGTTTCCTATTAAAAAAAATTAAAACCCTTTTAAAAAACAAAAGAAAAAATTTTCAAAAATTTAAATTCAAATTTAAAAATAAAAATATTTTTTGGTTTAAATTTTATTAAAAATTTAATTTGGGGGGGAAATTAAAAGGAAAATTTAAATTTTTTTTGGAAACCCCAGGGTTTTTTAACTTTTAAAAAAATTTTTCCGGGGGAAATTTTTTAAAAAAATAATTGGCTTTTAAAATGGGGTATTTTAAAAAAATTTTAAAAAATTCCCGGGGGGAATTTTTTAAAAACTTAAAAAAATTTTTAAAAAAATTCCCTGGAAATTTTTTAAAATAAAAAAATTTTTTTTTCCCGTGAATTTTTAAAATTAAAAAAAATTTTTGCAATTTTTAAAAAAAAGCGGGGGAAAATTTTAAAAAGGGAAAATTTTTAACCGCCAAAAAAAATTTTCGAAAAAATTTTAAAATTGGGGAAAATTTATTTTTCGAAAATTTAAAATTTTCCCCGGGATAAATTAAGGGGAAAAAAAATATTAAAAAAAATTTTTAAATTAAAAAAATTTTTTTTAAAATTAAAATTAAAGGTTTGGGGAAAATTTTTAATTTTTTAAAAAAGGAGGGAAAAAATTTTAAAAAAATTTAAAATTTTCCGCCGGGGAATATATTTTATCTGATAAATTAATTCCGCCGGAATATTTTATTTGATAAATTAATTCCGCCGGAATAAATAAAGGTAAATACGAATAGTTAAGAAAATCTTATCTAATAAATTAATTCCACAGGAATAATTAAAGGCAATTGTGAACATTTTAAAATCACAGAGAATAAAATATAAACAAATTAAAAGTTAAACTGATGCAGTTTTTAAACAAATAAGTCAATCATCAATCACAAAGCACAACATCTTAAAACTTAAACAAATTCAATATCACATTCTAGTTCAGGCTGGTTAAGGCAATGTCCTAAAGCTCTAGTGGTGACTAAGTCTGGCAAAATATATCTCTTATTATCAATGGCAGAAAGTGCACATTTCCTCTGCTTAATAGTATACATTGTATGATTATAACTTCTAAGGGTGGTTTGGTTAACCCTCACTTCCTCTCCACCGAACAAAACACTTTTATATTTCTCATGTAATAAGTGACGTCTAGCTACTTTATGTTTAACCCCTGCTGCGGCCATCTTACCATCAGCTTTATGAACTTTACAGCTATATAATTTACTTCTTAATCCGCAAAACTCAGAGGCAAACTTACCCGCAAATTCATCTTTCATTAAGCCCGGTACTGCCTTGTTAGTTAAATCAAATAGGGGGTGATCAGTAGGGTAATTACTAGTGTCAAAGTGACTGGCCATATCCTGATAGTCTTTATGCAGATCGGCAGTTTCAACCCAATATAAGAAACTATCTGTATCCGTAAAACATAATTTAATGTTACTATATTTAACCTTGAGCACATCGTACCAGAATCTATACATTAACAATTTTGACAAGTCTAAAATAGCTGCTCCTAAATAAATCGGCTTATCTAACACGATAACAGGCTTAACAAGTTCTAGTCCAACCAGTTTATCAGAGAAAATGCAAAACCTCTTGAATCCAGGTTTACTAGTCTGAAAGCGATGTTGCCTGCCGTTCCGTATCAGTCTGATGTTCACTCTAAGCCTCACCGACTCCATACTCTTCCCGAAGAAAGCATTGTTCAGTAGTTTGAAGAAAGCTTTACCAAACTCTGAAGTAGACTCCTGTCGTTTTTTGGTGTTAAATGCAATGTACTTCCTTAACCAATCAGACTGCACAAATTCTATAACTCTATGAATCTTGGTACAAACACCACCAATTGAAATGTAATACTGCAATGCTGCTACATGAATCTTATGCTTAATCTTAGGAAAGAGGTTTGGAGCAAGCTTCTTAGAAGGAGCAACGGAGTTTACCCCTCTCCTCTCCATTGCCTTACGAGTTGCATTTGATACCATACTATCCTGCACCACCAGAGATTCAGGGAATAGAGGTAGATCGTTGAATTTGTCGTGATCCTCGGGTTTCATCTCTGTATCACACTCGACAAAGTAAGCCACGTCACCATTCGGATCCCAAGCCATGATGTCGTCGACGGTGAGAAGTTTACCCGGTTTCTGCCACTTGAAGCCCGATATCGGAAGCTTCTGACACATAGCCCACCCGTATAAGTTGTTTGCGTCTATATAGGAAAGGTAGCTTTCAGGTTTAGAAGGATCATAGTCTGGAAGATTATGATTGTTAGCCTTAGCATAGCGATGAGTAATGGTGCTAATACCACCACGGATAGCCTGCTCGATAAAAGTATACATTTCCTGATCCTTCAATAATTCTAGCTCTACCTCAGTATACTTTAATCCTGCATCCCATGTTAAACCTGGTGCAGTATAATAATGTACAGGATCAAGATCATAAGAATTTATACACTCTATCCTATACTGTTGTAGCACTGAGTCGAGGAGTAGGACATCAGAGGCTATATAGAGATATACCAGATCCTTGAGACTCTCCAAACCAAACACCTCCCAGACTTTCTGCACATGAGCATAGTCCTCCTCCGAGCAGGGTTCATCGTTCAGGTCATTGTAGAAAGCCGTAATGGGAGGTAGTTCAGTCTCCTCAAAGGTCTCGAAGGTCTTGAAGTAGGAGTAGGGGTACACCCCTTTGCGAAGAAGAAGCTCCAGTTTCTCAGGCTCCACACAACCGAACTTCTGCTGAAGGAAGTCTTCGACAGGTTTAAAGGCTCCAGGTCCTGACGAATGAAGATTAGACACAAGTTTCTCTAGAGAGGAGTTGAGGTGAGCACATGAGTCAATGAACCTGAACTTTTTAGTGCTGAATGCTGTGTATGTTTCCATAGCCTTGGCGATAACATTGATATCCCAAGGATCATCAACACGATCTGCAATACCTCCAATAACCATGTGTGAGTCGTATCCTTTAAGATTGTGAAAGAAAATGGGTAAATACTTTGGTGTTTGACGTTCTAGGTTGCATAGTGGATGAGTGTAACCTAAAACTTTACCAGTGTAGTGACAGTGATCGAGATGTTTATCTTTAATAAGTTTACGTTTGCAAATAACACAATTTGGATTAGCATTGAGACGATCCATGGTAGCCTGGTCTACCTTCTCCATTGGCTCATTCATCTCCATCCAGGGTCTGAGACGGTCATACAATAAATCCTGAGCTTCCAAGAACTCATCGATACATTTTGGTCCATGGAAAATAACTACAGGCTCATCTTCAAACCCAGCTAGGTGACTATTTAGCTTGTACGATACCGTGCAGGGGGTGTGCTCTGCGATCTTCACTGTAACTCCGTTTTCGTCTACCTCCCGCGGCACTAGGATACACTCTATGTCAGCGGAGACCGTGAACGGATTTTTATCGTCTTCCTCCAACTGTTGAACTTTAACGTGAGCTGCTCCTTCTCCGTCTTCTTCTGCCTTATACTTCCTACTGGATAATCACGTTGTTTAACTTCATGGGGCATGATGGTTCGCTGTGCGTCCAATTTAGAACAATCACTTTCATGATTATCCAAAAGGTCACTTCTTGTGAAACCTCTCAAACATCTACAACAAAAAAATTTTGCATGAGTATTCTGGCTCTGTCCACATAATAGTGCTGAGAGATCCTGTATCCAGACCCAATGACTCGTCCTGTCGTTCTCCACCAGCAGAATGTTGATGCACGTCTCACTGTTAGGATTCTGACAGAGTCTGATAGGGTAGAATCCCTGGTGAAGTTCGCTCGGTTCTCCATTCAAAATCGTTCCATCATCCCATCCAAAAACATTGATCGAAACGTCATTCAACTTCTCAACCTTACCAATCTGAAATAAATAACGGGTGAGTTGTTTAACTTGCAAAGCCGGCGACATTTGATTCTAAACTAAACTAGAAAGCCCGGACACAGGCAGGAAGTTAATAGTATTCCTAAAAGTCACTTTTTATCGCGTCAGAAAATATCCGTTATGATTGAAGATGTAACTTGTAAAAATTATAACTTACACTGAAAACAATGAAATCACCGCAAAACCGATTAAAATTTCGTTAGTAAATTTTTACATATGCACGTTCAACTCCGTTACCTTAGTTTGCAAATAGCTATTTCTCATCTAATTTGAAAATCACTGATAGCACTAATTAAAATTCTCACCTCGCTGATTGGAGTAGGGGTGGAGATACCAGTCATGTTTATCTTCACGTTGCTTTTCTGATAGCGACCAACGCGAAGACGGTTATTCCCTCTAGGATACCCCCGCTGACGTTCGAGAGCTGCAACTAGAGCCCATTCCAAGCAGCGTTCATCGTTCATGTTCTGGATGTTGAGAAGAGCGTAGGTCTTACGTCTGATGGGTAAAGGCAACTCCATCCAGCTGCTACCTGCTAACGGGTTATACCTGAAATATAAAACATTAAATTTTTGCGAATAAAATATTGTGTCTGTCTGGTTCTAATATACCGTTACAAGGACGATTTTAATATAACCAAGAAAAATCAGTTAAGAAAGATAATATACTTCATTAAATTTTGCGAATGAGGTATATCCATGAAATTTCAGTTAAAAGATATATCTGTAAAAGGGTCAATAATATTTCTTACCTGGTAATGTTAATCGAGATGGAGATTATCTCGTGTACCGCCCATCCACTCCCATCTCTGATGAGTCTGTCTACCCGATCACTGATGTTGTTGTTATGGGTCTGGAGAGCTGGAGCAATGAGATCTGTGAGAAGTAATGGTATCATCTCGCTATCAAATGTTCTAGCTACGATGTCTCCGGTGACCAACTTGCTGAGGGTTACATTCAACTCCAAATTGAACTTTATACCAGTTCCAAGATTACTTTCAATAATATCAGTCAATCTGGGGGACGATTTCTTCAAAGCTCCTTGAAAATCGGTACCAACTTTAAGAGGAGGAGATAAAGAGAATTTACGAAATAATCCATCTATGGCCGTGATACTGGTTACCGTCTGGTTTTCCGAGGAACTCTCTTCAGCTGTCCCACTTGTCTCCACTCTAGGTCTCACGTTCCTGGCTGTCGCACTGCAATCAGGTCTTCTGCAAATCGTCTCATGCTCCAATCTAAGCTCTCGACTCTGGAAAACCAAACTACATACCCGACATGGGAAAAGATCCCCCTCACATACCAACCGATGAGCTGCCAAATCATCAGGACGAGTATAGCAAACTGTACACCACTTACCCTTACCACATGTTTGCACATGTCTCTTAAAGTTTTTAGCATGCCACTTCTTACACACCGGGCACTGATGACCTGGATCCCGTATCTGTCTGAGGTTTAAATAATAAGAGGTAGTATCTATACTATCGAACACGCCTTCACATGCCGCATCCATCACGGCAAGCTCCAGTTGAGCATCAATACTATTCCTCAAGGTAAGATCAATCATCTCCTGTTTAAACTGATGAACGTACAAGGGATCGGAAACATATCGGATACCATTCGAGGCAGTCACAGTCAAAAGTGCTTTAATAGGATAGTTATCCCGAGCACGCCAAATAGCCCTGGAAACCTCCGCAAGGGCTGAATCATACTTACCACTAAACTTAAAGTCCGTAGAAGGACCGAAATGACAAGGGCTCTTTGTCATAGCGACCAAAGGGGAAATAAACTGACAATCGGTTGTTTCAAGATTTGATAATTCAAGCAGCGAATTCAATCAAATAAGCAAATAGGTAATGTCAGTTGTAAAATTCTTGGTTTATATAACGATCACATCCTCTATCAGCACCGGATATCCAGCATCAATTAACACCCTGCACGGATGTTAATTGAAGTGTTAATTGATAGCCCGATCGGCTTGTCAGACTACCGGTCATGTCCTCATGTAATTAGTTCCGGGGCCAGAGTGAAAAAAATCGTCTAGTCTTCCTGATTGGCTTGTCAGACTGCCAGTCATATCTTCAGGTGAAACTTTTTTACTTATCTAGAGCACTACACAGACCTTATTAGGGATATAATTGTACACAGCTAGAGTTGGCTAGGGTTACCATACCCGGAAAGCTCACTCAATCCAGCTACCTAGGGTTAACCCGGAAACCAATTACATCCTTTTTTACACACAAATTTATATGTCAGATTTTCAAAACACCCTATTTCCGTCTGAAATCCACTGTTCTCGAAATGAGTCTGGCCCGGCATAGTCATACTACTCACATGTATTTTTCAAAAATTCCCCGTAGTAATAGCACGAACACAGAAAATGGTGATATGATTTATCATTCAGATTTTCGGAAATCGGTACACATTCGACACGGACAGAAGTTCGACAAGCACTCAAGTTCGATAAACTCTAAATAGTCGGATCCCAACCGTCCTAAAAGGCTATCTCGTTAGCTTTTCGTGTTAAAAGCGATTTCTCAACGGTTATCACCTCTCTAGATGATTCTTAAAACATTTGGACTTCATTGCATTTTTGAAATAATGCAATGAGGGCGTTTTCGGCCACACCCTTTTTCAGGGTTTCGCGGTCACTCGAATTTTTGTATTTCAGCCCAGGAAGGTCTTTAAGACTATTCCGATACACCAAAATGTGCCTGATAGCCACATTTATATACAACTTATTAAGCAACATATATAATATACTGAATACTGAATTATAATTATGATGTATTATTTTTTAAAGTTATAATGTAGACAAGGAAACACACGTTTAGATTTTTGAAGATAACTTTAACTAAACTATATTCAATAACTCTATATATATCCAAATACTTATTTCAATAATTATCAACGTTTTGGTTATAAAGTTCAAGAATCTTCATGACGATACATTTGTGAAAGTTTAAGAAGCTTGATGATAATATTTTTGTTCTCGTTCATTAGTTTGTTGACATCAGATAGACTAGTAGTCGTGATAACTGCAGTCAAAAGAGCTTGTTCTTCCATACTTAAAATTGTGGCGATGTCTTGTCCACAGTCAATGAGATGCTGCTCAAATTTCTCAAACATTTCCGTTTTCATTATGTAAGAGAATAAAAAGTCCATACATTTGTTCTCCTCCTTGCACAATTTACTTTGTAACAGGACATCTAGAGATTTGAGTAATTTCGACATATCATTTACCTTTTTATTTATTTGCTTGATTGCTACGCCTTTCCGCTTGCCTTTGTGTTGCCGAACTGAGTCAGATTCTAACTCATCACTACTTGATACACTTCTACTATCACTATATGGTGTTTTTGACTCGTAATCAGCACTTGTTTCCTAAGAGTTAGAACCGTCTTGTTGAGATTCTTCAGATATTATCGTATCAGCATCTGAATATGTGGAAGCAGGATAATCCAGTTTTACATCAGTCGCATCCGAGTTAGCTTTTGATAGTGGTTGAATGTTAGAGCTTGTTTCTGACTCTCCGTTCTCTCGATGATACCGACTTTTGTGTGAGGACAAGCTATATTTATTGACAAAAGACTTGTCACAGAATGAGCAAGAAATAGGACTCATGATATTACTAAGGATACGTATAGAACGTTTGCAACAACAATCTTCAAATATATTATTCAATCTAACGGGAATGCTTCAAATTTTGTGGAGTAATTAACTCAGACCCACGTGCTATTTTATACAAATAAAAAACAACTAATCTGCTTTCCCTGATCGACGTGTCTTTTTCTTAACCAACGGTTAGGTCTCATTGTATTTGTATGTACGGGTGTTAAGGACTTCGGGCTCCCTCCTTTCCTACCCTCCCTCCCTACCCTACCACCCTCCCTCCAGGGGAGGGAGGGTAGGAAAGGAGGGAGCCCGAAGTCCTTAACACCCGTACATACAAATACAATGAGACCTAACCGTTGGTTAAGAAAAAGACACGTCGATCAGGGAAAGCAGATTAGTTGTTTTTTATTTGTATAAAATAGCACGTGGGTCTGAGTTAATTACTCCACAAAATTTGAAGCATTCCCGTTAGATTGAACAATATATTTGAAGATTGTTGTTGCAAACGTTCTATACGTATCCTTAGTAATATCATGAGTCCTATTTCTTACTCATTCTGTGACAAGTCTTTTGTCAATAAATATAGCTTGTCCTCACACAAAAGTCGGTATCATCGAGAGAACGGAGAGTCAGAAACAAGCTCTAACATTCAACCACTATCAAAAGCTAACTCGGATGCGACTGATGTAAAACTGGATTATCCTGCTTCCACATATTCAGATGCTGATACGATAATATCTGAAGAATCTCAACAAGACGGTTCTAACTCTGAGGAAACAAGTGCTGATTACGAGTCAAAAACACCATATAGTGATAGTAGAAGTGTATCAAGTAGTGATGAGTTAGAATCTGACTCAGTTCGGCAACACAAAGGCAAGCGGAAAGGCGTAGCAATCAAGCAAATAAATAAAAAGGTAAATGATATGTCGAAATTACTCAAATCTCTAGATGTCCTGTTACAAAGTAAATTGTGCAAGGAGGAGAACAAATGTATGGACTTTTTATTCTCTTACATAATGAAAACGGAAATGTTTGAGAAATTTGAGCAGCATCTCATTGACTGTGGACAAGACATCGCCACAATTTTAAGTATGGAAGAACAAGCTCTTTTGACTGCAGTTATCACGACTACTAGTCTATCTGATGTCAACAAACTAATGAACGAGAACAAAAATATTAGCATCAAGCTTTTTAAACTTTCACAAATGTATCGTCAGGAAGATTCTTGAACTTTATAACCAAAACGTTGATAATTATTGAAATAAGTATTTAGATATATAGAGTTATTGAATATAGTTTAGTTAAAGTTATCTTCAAAAATCTAAACGTGTGTTTCCTTGTCTACATTATAACTTTAAAAAATAATACATCATAATTATAATTCAGTATTCAGTATATTATTCAGTATTCATTCAGTATTCAGTATTCATTCAGTATTCATTCAGTATTCATTCAGTATTCATTCAGTATTCATTCAGTATTCAGTATTCATTCAGTATTCATTCAGTATTCATTCAGTATTCATTCAGTATTCATTCAGTATTCATTCAGTATTCATTCAGTATTCATTCAGTATTCATTCAGTATTCATTCAGTATTCATTCAGTATTCATTCAGTATTCAGTATTCATTCAGTATTCATTCAGTATTCATTCAGTATTCATTCAGTATTCATTCAGTATTCATTCAGTATTCATTCAGTATTCATTCAGTATTCATTCAGTATTCAGTATTCATTCAGTATTCATTCAGTATTCATTCAGTATTCATTCAGTATTCAGTATTCATTCAGTATTCAGTTTTCATTCAGTATTCATTCAGTATACATTCAGTATTCAGTATTCATTCAGTATTCATTCAGTATTCAGTATTGTGTAAGATAAGGTGACGGATTTCATCTTATCCTACTCAAGAAAATATTCTGATCACAAAATACCAGGAAACAGAACACGGAACATTAATCGATGAACTGCTGCCAGATACCGAGCAAATATTTACGGGTATGATTTCTACAATATTCTAATATTGTACTAAAATACTATGTTGATATACGACAGCTCAAATATAACAAAGCAGAATAGTGCGAACCTTGAGCATAAAACTAAACAAAACAACTTTGATCCAGTTGTCACTTACCTAAAGCTAATACCTCAAGATATGAAGAAGATAGAGACTGTCCAGTAAAACACGCACCTGTTCGTAATTATACCTTATCAAGATATTTAACAAAGACAAACACTGAGTTCTAATGTAAAGGGACGGTCCACTAATTGAGGTAGGAATTAGCACTATCTTTCATTGGTTATTATATTTAAAAATTCCTCGCACACTGTTCAATTTGCTGAGATCTTCTGATATAATTGTAGAAAATATAAAATATCTAGACCAGTCCTGACAAGAGATTTGAGTCAAATACATTACACAGCTGCTACCGTGCTTATTCTGTACTAGGTCTATGGCTATTATACAATGACAAATTATTCTCGAGGCTGTAAAGTAACCGTCCTGTAAGTACTCTCTATAAATTACATTTCATATCAAACAGTCAGTGTAATACGTGCTCGAGTACACTATATATATTTATCAGCTTCTACAAAATCTATATTTTGTTGACACGTATTTCTTTTAAGAAAGTCACATTTTTATCAATTCACTTTAGTTTTGTTTGGGTCTTAAATTAAGCAAATATCTGTCAAGTACAAAAAACAGCTGTTGCCGTAACTTTACTTTACAATGACGGTACAATCTTGGTACTATTGAGTAACCTTCCTGAAAAGTGCTTTCTCATTACGTTACCATATCAACCAGGTGTTGTCCTAAACTGTACACTCTAGTTAAATTTAGCTAGCATATAAGTCACTATATCCCTTTATCCGTACATTATACTGCAGAGGTCGCCTTGAACCAGATGTTAATAATGTCCATAGACAACTGATGTAATTGTACGTGAAC